TCTGTAGTCTTTTTGGACGAGAAGAAGTCAATTTATTTGGGTCAGATGGGCTTCAGTGGTGCAGGAGGGGAGTTGGAGAAGAGTTTGATGTGAAGAATGTGAGGACAGAAGTCAAACATGGAGGGGGCAGCCTCATGGTTTGGGGATGTATCACATCAAAGGGGTATGGTGAGCTCCATCTTGTCGAAGGGATCATGGATAGTGTCCAGTTTTGTGAGATACTGGATGAGTCACTCCTCAGTACCCTAAAGACGCTGGAGATTCAAAAAAAGGGAATGATTTTCCAGCAAGACAATGATCCCAAGCACAGATCCAAGTACACGACAACCTGGCTGACACGTAACGGAATCAAGACACTTCCATGGCCACCTAACAGTCCAGATATGAACCCAATGGAACATGTCTGGTCTCAGCTCGACATTAGACTTCGCCAACGCCCACAATACCCAACCAATAAAGTTCAGCTTTGGCAGGCCTTGCAAAGGGAAGGTATACTCGATATTAGTCCTTGTATTCAAAATTAGACTTGTGCACCTTCATTTGACCGAGAATGCTTCATTCAAACGAAGCGACTTTTCAGAGTTTACTTCCTAATTTGGATTGAAGCTGCCCTAACATAAACACGATATGACTTATGCCTGTTTGAAAGGATATTTCATCATTCTCAAACAAGCCACCATGTATTCAGATATGAACCAGAAAAGCTCTGGCTTTGAAAGGCTGTTGAAGTAAAAAAAATTCTCACCCACAGTACTTTTTGCCAGCACTTTATGTATGTCAACTTCAAGGTCCAAGGATCAGTAGATATCACACATCAGGTGATCGGATCTTTAAATAATCAATACACATTTTGTAAGCTGATTGGGCATGAACAATCATATATATCATGTACATGTAGGTACATTGGTAAATGTACAACAGTCCTAACCACCACCAGAGGGAACGAGATAATTTGGCATTCCAGCAAACTACATCTGTCTCCCAAGTTACGATGTTTCCAACATTTCCATTGCAATAACATTAACCTGTGAACTTTGTCTGTGTGGAACGTCTCATTCGAAGTAGTGCTGTAACAGGCCTGGGGGTAGGCATCTCGAAAGTGCCCCAAATGCTCTCTTGTGAACTGGGTGCGAAAGGAAGGAAATCAGAGCCAGAACGATCAGAGTAACTGCTACAACAGAGAATATGCTTCCCCATGCCATAGAGGTTTTAGCGACCATCTCTGTATTCTGAGCAACCCCCATTGGTCGCTCTATAGCAATTACCATCAGCTGCTCTGTATTTGTCATAGTGATTGTCATCCCCATGTTTTCAGTCACTGTTTCTGTAATCATACAAGTGATTGTTTGTGTTACTGTGGGGTTCTGGGTCAATGGCCAGGTCTGTGGAGACAAAGTTGATAAAATGGTTGGAAACAGCTCCATCTCCTCTGCCAAAGGCACTTGTGGTGGTAAGCTTTGGGAAACTTCCTCCAAGCTTCCCATGGGGGATAATGCCACCGTCACTGCCACAGATGACTTTGCAAAGCCCAACGGAGAGACTATCTGATATTGGTAGATAGAATTGGGGATTGGAATGTACTGAGCAGCTGTCGCCAAGAGTGCTGTGAGAGAACAAGAAATGAAGAGTTTTCGGTATCACTGTTGAATTGGTCATCAAATAATCAGGTGATAGAGTCGATTCAATTTACCTGCAGCATTGGCCTCTCATAATCTGTGGACGGCTTTGGTTGATACTGTGCTTGAGCTTGCACCTGGTTGACAATGGCAGGTGGTGGCTGGTCAACCATGGTAGATGGTGGCGTTGTAGATGGTGGATTGTCTTTGGTCGTAGACAGTGGCTGGTCGATGGTCATAGATGGCTGAGTGGCCATATCAGTAAGTGGCTGACTGACAGCACTAGTAATGGCAGTTGTCAGTGGCTGATTGATGGCAGTGATGACAGTCGTGGCTGCTGACAGCTGGTCGGTAGTACTGGTGATGGCACTAGTGATGCGCTTGTTGGGACAATGTCGGTGACAGTCGCTGCTGGTGGCTGGTTGATAGTACCGGCGACGGCGCTCATTGGTGGTTTACCAACAATAGCAGTGACTGGAGCTGGCTGGCGGTACTTGCAATTGGGATGGTTCTGGTGACAGCACTGGTTGGTGGCGGATTGACAGTGCTGGAGACCGCACTCATCAGTACTTCATTGTTGGTGCTTGTGGTTGAGCTGGCACTTCAGTCACCCACCTTGAACAAGCTATTAGCCTTGAAACATATAGGTATATATCCAGGCTAATAGGTTCTTTGACCGTTTATTTTTTTTGCCTCTGGAGGAAAATATATTATTGCATTGGGCAAAAATCTTTCACCTTCAATATTGTGACCAGAAATGTTTGGGTTGATATATTGCATTGAAAAATATCCTAGCCATCTGAAAGTGGTTGGAAATGTTTGAAGGGTTTCAGAGTGGTAGGAAATGTTTTAGCTGTGTGACACTGCTGAGAAATGTTTTGACCATGTCACACTGCTCGGAAATGTTTTGACCATGTCATACTGCTCGGAAATGTTTTAGCCTTGTCACACTGCTGAAAAATGTTTTGACCATGTCACACTGCTTGGAAATGTTTTGGCCATGTCACATAGGCAAAACATTTCCAAGCAGTGTCACAGAGTATCTGGGGTCCTAGTTTCAAAAAAAAAACTTCAAAAATTTCTACCATTTAAACCCGCTCTTTTCTGGATTCAACTTTTCTACAAAATTTATCATAAGGATAATTTTGGTCATAAACTTGCCTTTTTACTATTTTATTATAGAAAAAGCAGATTATATATTGCATGCAACTGTATCTATTGGTAATTCAGCTATTTGTTATATAGTTATAGCCTCTAAATTCTGCTTTATCAGATAATAAAGGTTATTACTGACTACTCATTTGTTGAGTTTATATTGATAATTGCTTATAATAGACTAGCCCTACTTACTGAATTATGAGCAATGTCTATTGATGTCTGTAGCAAATCCATTCCAAACTGATTGTATCAGACAGAACCAGCTCTAGGATTTATGCAAATGTGATGAGTCATATGACATATGAACATGTGGTTGAGATATGTCATATAACATGATGTATTCATCACATTTCTTTCTCAAACATTCTTGCCCCACCTCAGGAATGACTAGAAGCCACCAGACTCCTCTGGAACAGGACTATAATAGGAATAATCTAAAACTAACTTTGTGGGCTATCACTAATTTTTTGTTGCCTGTTAGTATTATTATCCCTTTTAGGGGCTGCACCTTCATTTCCTGTTTGAAGTATATTCAGAGAACTCTGACAGATAGTGGATAATGGATATACCAAGCCTCTTTTTTGATTTTTTTTTTTTGCAATTTATTTATGAAGAACACTAAACTTTGCTTCTTTGGACATGTGCCTAAGACTTACAACAGCACCCAGAAATAATTCTCTTTTTTTGTTTATTTTTATACAAATTTATAGATAATTTTCATCTAAAGATGCAAATCTTTCCTTGTTTGGAATTACATACTGGGCCTGGAAAATAACATCTTATATTATGACCACCAGTAATTACTACCTATTATTATTCTATAATTTTATTGCTATTTCTGAGTATCTTTTATTAATTACCCTATTTGGAAATATGTCCACAACAGTCTATTCTTTTTTCTCTTTTTTTCTAATTTTGTGACCATGTTTATATTAATTACTATACTGGGAAATGCACACAAACTATATAAATAGTACCCCAACATTGTCAACAACAGTATATTTCTTTTTTTTCTTCTTTTTTCTAATTTTGTGGATATAATTCTTGCCTGAAACATGTGCACAGACCATCAGACAACACTGTATTACTTTTTTTTTTTTCTTCTGATTTTTTGGATATATTTTCATTAATTACCATATTAAGAACAATGCACATACCATGTAGAGTACTCTATATTATTACCAATGGTGAGCACTACCTCTATTTATTACTGGTTTTATCACAATTTTTATGTAAAAATGCAATACTTTATTTATTTTGCAATTTTAGCAGTCACAGACTGTCCTGGTATAAATACTGGATAAGTGCTAAAATCTTTGCTGGCTGGAAAAAGAGATCACGTGACTGGATCACATAGTTATATCACATGACCACATCACATGACCACATCACATGACCACATCACATGACCATCTCACATGACTATCATATCACATGCTTATGTCAGATCTCAAATCATATGATATACAATATCTAATTACCATATTTGGAAATATGCACATACCAAGTAAACAATACATCAACATTATCAATGACCATTTCCATTATGTGATTTTCTTTTCTTATTTTTCTGACTTTTTGGGTATATTTTCAGTAATTACTATATTAGGAAATGTGCACAGACCACATAAATATTACCCCATCATCACCACCCTATTTTTTATAATTGTATTCTGGTGGTATTGCAAATCTGTGTGGTCTAATCGACTATATGTGCATTAAATGTGGGAGCTGTCAATAAAAGTCATATAGCAAGCTAGAATGACAATGGTGTGAAGACCCAGCTATGATCTCAGTCACAGGTCAGTCCAAAGAGAGGAAGAATGAAGGAAAGAGACTAGATGCAGGTGTATTTTAGTGAGATTTGAGATTGCTTCTACATGTGGGGTAGTGAGTGAGCTTTGTACATGGTGGTTAAGGCTATTGTTATATCCAAAACTGTATTTCTTGCAGAGGTGGGTGCCATGCATGGCTAGCAGATATGGGATCTTATCCATCTTCTACATTATTTACTTTCCATTGCTTAGCTTTTGTGTCACATGACTCCTTTTCATACTTGTCAATAGTAGTCACATGTGACAATTCAACTTCTTTGATCTTTCAAACCACCACCATGTATACTCTTGGACTAAGATTTGACTTGTATTTTAGCTAATCACAGCTTGGTCTTCACACCATTATTGTTTTGGCTCACTATACAGTCATTTACAGGTCCTCGATACACACAAATAAAGACAGGCCTCAGACAAATGTATTAAGACAGTAAAGTACAATCTAACTATGCAGGATCATTACTTAGTACATACATACATGTAATTGAGACCGAAATTGACTATCTACGGAGAGCAGAGGGAGGATGAAGTTAATCTGTCCAAAAGTTGCTTATCGCGGAGAATTATGTCCTCGATACGGCCATCACATCAGGCATGACACCCAAAACGGCTATGTCTGATTAGATCACGATGAGATCATTCCTCGTCCTCCTCACCGCTCTGAGTGTCGTCGTCGCTCTCCCTGCCAGGTTCAACGGGTTCAACATCTTCAGCATCATCTGCAGCAGCAGCTTGTTGAAATGCACCCTTCTTTGTCCAAGTCTTGGGCTTTTGTGGCTCAGCTTTCGGCTTGCTCGGTTTCTTCCACCTGGGTCTCTCGCGCACTTCTTTTGCCCTGTCCCGCTCGAATGATCTCGTCTGCATGTTCCTTGAGGCACCTATTGCTGAAGGGAAAGTTCCGTGCAGCCATCTCGAGAGCATAGTCGATGAGAACAGTTGCTTCAGTTTCTGTAAGCCAGCTCTTCTCGGCATTGAAGTCAGACAACTTTGTTCCCCCATGAGTATGCTTCCAGAGAGTACTGTGTGATAAGGTAACATGTTGCCCAGTCTTTTGCAGATGTGCGGCACTGATTCGGTCGCAAATTGTACGAAGACCAAGAGGCTTGCCATTTTTGCCTGTAGGAGTTTGTTGTTCCTGTTTCTCCATTTCAGTTGCCTCGTCCTGGAGCAGAGATTTAACTTTGGCTGCAGCCGCAGCTTTGTAGAGTTTGGAACGTGCATGTTTCATCGTGCAGGGATCAAGCTACAGCTGCTGAAGAAATCCAGTTGCGTCGAGGATGACACTTTGCTGGCAATTCCCCCATTTGGAAGGTGTGACATGACCGATGGAATTCTGCTTACACCTCCTCAAATCCTCACATCTCCACTCCGAAGCCTCCATCTGTGCTTTTGATATCAGTGGCAGGTAGGCTTGAGTGTATAAAGAAGGGTTCCTGCTTGAAAAAATAGATGGTAGTCCGGATTGTTTTGAATGACATGTTCAATATTTCACAAATGTCCAAATCTCGACAGATTATACTTCCAACATTGCTTCACACAAGCACCCACCTCGAAAAGCGAGGGCTACATAGACATAAAGTATATATACTAGTAGGAAAGAAAATTAGGACAATTGGAACACTGGATGTGAAAATATCTGGGTTTGTATTGAGGACCTATCCTGTATCGAGGACCTGTAAATGACTGTACAACATTCATCAACACCTCCCCACATTTAACATATAGATAGTATGTTACACATCTATTGGGGGGTGAGGATCATTTAGTAGTCCACTTTATATGCTCATAGTGATCATATAGTTACTGTCATTTGTAGGCAGCATAGACATATTACATGTAGATAATGAACATTGTATATAGGTAATGAGAATTTGTAGGTATGGTATAGGGATAGCACTCAATGATGCTGATGACACCCAATGGATAATAACAACCAATTAATTGCCAGTCATGCATAATACCCATAATACACACCCATCCTGTAGAAAATTCAGTTCTTATCATGTATTGGTTCTTGATATTATATAAAACCAAACATAGTCCTTGTGATTTCAATGTGAAAATGGCAGTGCAAAGTATTGTAAATAGTGCAGGGGGATTCCACAAAGAAGGGCTCTAGCTTGGGTATTGTCTTTGCCATGGAGACAGAGCAAGGACATGGATAGGCATGAAAGCAATAACACAAATAATAGACAAACATCTGACACTAGCTGATACAGGTTTCATCTCATAGTTTTTTAATAAATGCAATGTGTAGATGTTGATGTTGTGTATCATGTGATCCATTCATGTGATATGCCATTTGTCATAATCATGTGATATAACAGGTATATGATATGGTCATGTGATAGGTCAGATGATGTGACCATGTAATGGGTCATGTGATAGGTCAGATGATGTGATCATATGATATGGTCATATGATGTAGCCATGTGATATAGTCATATGATCTGGTCATGTGATATAACCATGTGATGTTTCTTTCCAGCCTGACAACACCACTGCTATTAGAAAAAAAGGAGAAAAATAACAGACTGTTGTTGATGGCCTGTGCACATTTCCTAATATGGTAATTAATACAAATACAGCCAGAAAATAAGAAGAATAAATAAATAATGGACTGTTCTTGACAATATTGGGGTACTATATACATGGTCTGTGCATATTTCCTAATATGGTAATTAATACAAATATAGACAGAAAAATATGAAGAAAATCCATGTGATGTAAATGGTTCTTGATAATGTTGATGTACTATTTACTTGGTCTGTGCATATTTCCAAATATGGTAATTAATGAAACTATCATCAGAAAATTACAACAAAAAGAGACAAATAATATACTGTTGTTGACAATATTAAGGTACCATATACATGGTTTGTGTGCATTTTCTAATATGGTAATTGATACAAATATAGTAAGAAAATCAGAAAAGAAAATAGAAAAAAAGAAGAGACATACTATTAACTGTTATTGACAATGTTGGTGCATGGTGCACATGGTCTGTGCACATTTTCAAATAAGGTAATTTGTGCAAATATAGCCACAAAATCACAATAAAATGAGAGTACTATTGGGGAAAATGTAGATGGTAATAACTGGTGGTCATAATGTTGCAGGGCTGATTTCAGAGTCCAGTTTGCATTTCCAAATGAGGAAAGATTACTATTTTAAATGAAAATCATTTATAAAATATGGTAAAAATGAGAAAAAATAGGACTTATTGTTGGGTACTCTTGTCAAGGTCTAAGATCCATGTCTGAAAAGGGAATTCAAGTATTTCTGATAAAGAGATCAGAATTTTTAGCTATTCCTGGAGAAATAGGTGGGGCACAGTAAAGTCATGGTAATGTTCAAGAAAGAAATTTAATATATCATTATGGTCAACAAATATGAATACATCACATCATATACATTTACATGAAACTTCAGACTCTGACAATCCTCAGAACTCTCTCCAGTCATCAGAAATATATTTCTATGAGAGTGAAAAAATATAGCTGGCATGGTCAATCTGACAATCCCCAGAACTTCCTCTAGTCTTCAGGAACATACATCTACCACAGTAAAGAATATGGCTTGCACATTAGCCAATATTTACTTCTCCTCCATTTCTTGTAATTTTCTCCATAGTTGAGCCTAAAAGAATATTACTGGAGCTAAGTTACGAAGATCAATCAGACCCCATTTAAATGCACCATTCCATCTTCAGCCTTGTCTTCCCCATCGTCCTCATCATCGCCTCCATATGCGAAATTCTCCTCATTATCATCCCACCCCTTATCCTCCTCCTCCTCCTGCTCCTCCTCCTCCTGCTCCTCCTCCTCCTCTTCCTCCTCCTCTTTTTCTTCCTTCTCATCACTCCTTTGAGCAAAAGGTGATCCGTCATCAAAGGCATTAAAGTGTTGTGTTGGCCATATGGATGGTTGAAACCCATCTGGGTTGGGGTCATCATAGATATTGGAGGGATGCCTATTGGAGGGATGCCTATTGGAGGGATGCCTAGTGGAGGGCGGTGTAGCGGGCATGTGTTCTGCTGGAAACACAGAAGGCTCCATGTCATCAATGTTCATTGGATGCGGTCCAGTGGGTGACATGGCTGGTAGAGGTTGATCATCCATGTGAGGGTTGACAGAAGATGGGCATGATGGCCCTGGACATGGTGGATGAGGCAAATGAGCGTACCACTGACCACCAGGATCAGAGTATGTCTTTCATTTACCCCTGCCTTCATTGGCCCTTCCTTTGCCCTTGGCATGAGGTCCTGACTGAAATGGGACCAGACGAAATGTGGAAGAAGGGGCATAGTTGGGATTGGTAGGGTCACTAGTCCTGCAGCTGGGAGTGGTGAGTGGTGGGGACGTTCTCAGCTGCAGGGAAGTCCTCAACTGTGGGGATGGTCTGAGTGGTGGGGAACAAGCAAGAGGAGAGGTCGGGACTGGGAATGATGGATTGCTGAACATAGATTGATGCATGTTAGAGGGAGTGTCATGACCATAGCCCGCGTACAAATCAGAGTTTGGCCTTTAGTCTTCAAGGGCAATTTCAAGATAAGATCAGAAGCAAGAGAACATACAGAAGGCTCACCGTTTACATTTTCATCATGAGAAAGGTTCATAGAGCTTATCTCCAGACTGGCTGCGTTGCTGCGTGAGACTTAGAGATTTTCTAAGTTCACTGAGCTTACATATGGATTGGGAGGATATGTATCAGAGAACAGAGTTGAAGAGTGCTGAAGATTAGGTGGGGATGATGGTGGTGTTGTATTGGGTGAATTTGAACCACCTTGACGAGGCTCTCCTGCTTCCGGAATCAAAATCAAACTATATTCAATTGAAAGAAAACCATACCACTGGTGGGGAAATTTCTGGAATGGAAGTTGGCTGAGGGGGAGTATGACGAGGCCATTTTTGAAACTTGGAGTATTCAGACTTCACAATGCTCTTGTGAATGTTCATATATCTTCAACGTTAGTGATGAGCAGGGGTAACCCTGGGGTCAACTCAGGCTGACCCTGACCCTTACCCTCCAAAACCCTTGACCCTTGGCTGGGGTCAAGGGTTTTGAAGGGTAAGGGTAAGGGTATCTCAGGGGTTGGAGGGTAAGAAACCCCAGCAGGGTTTGGACAAGGGTTTGGAGCAAATAACTGCTCAAGCTTTATAGATAGTAAATAAATAGCAAGATGCCTTTGAAATATACATCATTCAAGTATATTTATGACAGTACACATGGTTTTCAGTAAATTGTTGATGAAATATGAGGAATTCAGTGTATGCTGAACAATGCTAAGTGTTGCAAAGGTAGTGAGGCCTCTTTGGATGATATTTTACCTGATTTGATGTGATTTAAAATCACTTTATCTGGAGTACTTACCTTAATATTAGAGAAATGAAACCCCTGACCCTTCAGAAGGGTCAAGGGTTTGTTGAGGGTCACAAAATCCTTACCCTGACCCTTACCCTCCTGACCCTTACCCCTGACCCTTGGAGGGTTGACAAACCCTTGCACATCACTATTCAACGTGGACGTACTTTCACAGGCTGGTCACAGGTCTTGACAATCTGGACAGATCTTAGCCAACCTGTATCGATTATCTGGACGTCGCGAGTCATTGTGATCGGTAGTGGCATGTACTGGATGCTGCATGTCGCAAACATGTGTGCTTTATTGAGGGGTTCGAATTCGCGATCGATAATCATACCTTTTCGATGTGGCCAATGAGTGTGCCTGCATTGCAGTAGTTCTTATGCAAAAGTACGTTCTCACTATCATTAAATAGGCCAGTTCTGGGCTGCAAGTTCAAGATATAACTTTTCAATAGACCTCAATTCTAGGTGCAAGGAAAGCAATATTTTGAGACCTTAAATTCAGAAACAAGCTTCACTACAGCTTAAGAGAACTACATCATGGAGAGTTGATACATTCGCTAAAAAACACCACCAATTTGAACATTTGCAAAGAAAGGGGACTAAAAAAAATTGTTATCAGCAAAGGAACCTGTAGCTTGCAGACACACCCACCAGGATCATCTCTGGAGGAGGATATCCGGCATCAACAGCCTTGGTGACCCTCAATAGGTAACTGTAAAATGAATTGATTTCAATGGATAACTAATTATATAAAAAATTAGGCATACAGTTGAATGGCTAACTCGAAGGTCTTCTTTCTGGCAGTAGGACGAGAAAGAACTGGAACTCAGGTTCCAATTTGGAATGCCGCCAGCTCTCTGTGCCAGGGTGTATTTGGTTTGACCTTGAGCAGAGTTTGGTTTACTGCCATCATTGGCTCACTATAGCCGCTGATGACAATATTTGCGCCCTCAACCATGACACAGGCATGATGAACTTTGGGAGCGAAGTTGGGTTTGGGTCTGAATAGGCTCATCACATTGATTTGGTCGATGTTTGGGCTTCTGTCATCAGGAGCATTGTCCATCATTGGAAATGCAGCAAGGCGGCAGCCAGATGTGTTGTACATTGAATAGATGTACCCATACACAGTGACATTGAGGTGCTCCTGAACATTATTAGCATATTCAAGAGGAGTAATATAAAAAACTAACCCCATGAGTCATGGGAACGGCATCGCAATCCATCTCCACTAGTGTACGGTGATATAGGATTGGAAGGGAATGCCCAGAGGCCATAGTCAAACAGTGGTATATAGCTAGATTTGGATATCTTACATAATATATTGATCTTTTGTCTTGAACCACCATCTTGTCAACAGTCTTGCCATCCTCTTGCACTATATGTAGTGCTTTGTATATCTGTACTTCCTACAGTATGCATAATCATGTTGGGCCAGCTGAGTATCTTGTAACTGCTCATTGCTCACTTATGGGTGTTGATCCCAGATCCACCCATTCTTGCCTCCTCCTTCCCTCTTGGCTTCAGCTATGCGAGAAGTTCAGAGTGAACACTTCACACGTACTGTTCCCCGCTAAGTTGGACCTTGAAGAATGGGGGAGACTGTTGATGTGTGAGAGATGTCTGCTACGACGAGGTGCTGAAGCTGTTTCCTGAGAGAGCTTGAGAAGTTCAAAAAGATGTAGTGCTGATGTTGCAAGACTTGTACGCACCATGTTCAAACAATGAGTTCAAAGTGGGTTTGGAATCTGGGACGCGGACATGTGCAACTTTTGGGGAATCATTTATATATCTGGAAGCTGTCTAGTCTATGGCTTGGACATGCATTCACTCAAGGGCCTTCTAGTTTTCAGCCAAGTCGGTCATGATCGCACATACCTGACATATGTGCACATCCGCATCGAAATCTCACACTTCAGTCACCCACTGACAACTGACTGTTAGTCTTGCAAACTCCATGAATACTACGGGACTAAATGTCAGGGTGTATATCTATAGTGTATATATTCTGGGCTTGTATATCTCCACTTTTACCTAAATATATTTTGTTGTCCAATGTCACACTAAATATATTTCTAGTGTGTCACACACCCCAAAATATATTTCCTCACTGGAATGGACTCCAAATATATTTCTTATGCCTGGACCCTGAATTGTGACTGTCACAATGTAGAAATATATTTCTTGTCTGGGTTGGACTTGGGATATATTTTGCAGCTAGGGTTGACTAAGGATATATTTTTTCAGCCACAAGGGGTGTCTGGGGTCCTATATTTAAGAGAAAAACTTGGGATTTTTTTAATATAGGGGACAGGGGATTTACCTATTATTTTGTAGACAGAATACCCTCATTGGGATGTTTGTTGACAGATATTTACCAATGGGTTTGACCCATGTGTAGTATATGCATTGATGTGTGCACTTTTTCCTAATTGGGCCATTTCCTAATTGGGCAAAGCATTACATTTTTTTCTGCCACACTTGATGTCAGGCACAGTGTGCATTTAGGTTGGGAACTGTTTCCCATGCTTTTTGGGCCAGAAGAATTAATGGTTAGCATGGTGTGGTCATTGTTAATGATGATGTGCACACTATTTCCTAATTGGGCAACTTCCTAATTGGGAAAAGCGTTACACTTTTTTCTGACAGACCTGATGTCAGGCACAGTGCACATTTAGGTTGGGAACTGTTTCCCACACTTCTTGGGCCAGAAGAGTTAATGGCTAGCATGGTGTGGTCATTGTTAATGATGATGTGTGCACTATTTCCTAATTAAGAAAAGCGTTACACTTTTTTCTGACATACCTGATGTCAGGCACACTGCGCATTTGGGTGGGGAATTAGTTCCCATGCTTTTTGGGCCAGAAGAGTTGATGGCTAGCATGGTGTGGTCATTGTTAATGACGATGTGCACACTATTTCCTAATTGGGCCATTTCCTAATTAAGAAAAGTGTTACACTTTTTTCTGACACACCTGATGTCAGGCACACTGCGCATTTGGGTGGGGAATTATTTCCCACACTTTGGTTTGTAGTGTCTGCTTTTTTCATTACAACACTTTGTAGTGTCCGCTTTGATGATTAGAAAATTGTGTAGTGTCTGCTTTATTTATTAGAAAATTGTGTAGTGTCCGCTGTTTTCATTACAACACTTTGTAGTGTCCGCTTTATTGATTAGAAAATTGTGTAGTGCCCACTTTTTTCATTACAACACTTTGTAGTGTCCGCTTTATTGATTAGAAAATTGTGTAGTGTCTGCTTTTTTCATTACAACACTTTGTAGTGTCCGCTTTAATCATTATAAAACTGTGTAGTGTCCGCTTTTTTCATTACAACACTTTGTAGTGTCTGCTTTATTGATTAGAAAATTGTGTAGTGTCCGCTTTTTTCATTACAATACTTTGTAGTGTCCGCTTTATTGATTAGAAAATTGTGTAGTGTCTGCTTTTTTCATTACAACACTTTGTAGTGTCCGCTTTATTCATTAGAAAATTGTGTAGTGTCCGCTTTTTGCATTAGAAAATTGTGTAGTGTCCGCTTTTTTCATTACAATTTTGTGTAGTATCCGCTTTTTTCATTACAATTCTGTGTAGTGTCCACTTTATTCATTACAAAATTGTGTAGTGTCTGCCTTTTTCATTAGAAAACTCTGCAGTATTCGCTTTTTTCATTAGAAATGTGTGCAGTGTCCGCTTTTTCATTAGAAATCTGGGTAGTGTCCACTTTGTGCATTACAAAATTGTGTAGTGTTCGCTTTTTTAATTACAACACTATGTAGTGTCTGCTTTACTCATTACACAATTGTCTAGTGTCCGCTTTTTTCATTAGAAATGTATGCAGTGTCCAATTCTTTCATTACAAAACTTTGTGGTTTGCCTTTCTGATATCTTGCAGCTTCCTGGAAATATAGCTTAATGTTTCAGAGAAACTGACTCCAGCCAAAGACCTCTTCATCATTTAGAATCCATACACAAATTGTCTTTTGACTGACCATCAAGTGTTCTAATTGTTCCCCTGGCCAGCTTCAGTCATGTTGTCCAACATTCATTGCATCTCCCTGGGGAGTCATCTCTGTCCATCTTTGTCTGACCATACCCAACCTCAACATGATCTCCTTCAAGAAGATCTCAGTGATTGATTTGCCAGCTGTTGGGGCTACTGTCAGAAGCTGTTCAAGGGGAAAGTTAGGACACTTGATGCTCAGTCAAAACACAACTGATGTATGAATTCCAGATGATGAAGAGCTGTTTTACTGGAGTGACAATATATCAGAAAGGCAGACCACAAAGTTTTCTGATGAAAAAAGCAGACACTGCACACATTTCTAATGAAAAAAGCGAATACTGCAGAGTTTTCTAATGAAAAAAGGGGATACTACACAGAATTGTAATGAAAAAAGGGGACACTACACAATCTTCTGATGAATAAAGTGGACACTACAAAGTGTTGTAATGAAAAAAGCAGACACTACACAATTTTCTAATCATCAAAGCGGACACTACAAAGTGTTTTAATGAAAAAATCGGACACTACACAATTTTCTAATGAATAAAGCGGACACAACAAAGTGTTTTATGAAAAAAGCGGACACAACAAAGTGTTTTATGAAAAAAGCGGACACAACACAATTTTCTAATGAATAAAGCGGACACTACACAGTGTTGTAATGAAAAAAGCGAACACTACACAATTTTCTAATGAACAAAACGGACACTACAAAGTGTTTTAATGAAAAAAGCGGACATTACACAGTGTTGTCATGAAAAAAAGCGGACACTACACAATTTTCTAATCAATAAAGCGGACACTACAAAGTGTTGTAATGAAAAAAGCGGACACTACACAATTTTCTAATAAATAAAGCAGACACTACACAATTTTGTAATCATCAAAGCAGACACTACAAAGTGTTGTAATGAAAAAAGCAGACACTACACAATTTTCTAATCAATAAAGCGGACACTACAAAGTGTTGTAATGAAAAAAGCGGACACTACACAATTTTCTAATCAATAAAGCGGACACTACAAAGTGTTGTAATGAAAAAAGCGGACACTACACAATTTTCTAATAAATAAAGCAGACACTACACAATTTTGTAATCATCAAAGCAGACACTACAAAGTGTTGTAATGAAAAAAGCAGACACTACACAATTTTCTAATCAATAAAGCGGACACTACAAAGTGTTGTAATGAAAAAAGCGGACACTACACAATTTTCTAATCAATAAAGCGGACACTACAAAGTGTTGTAATGAAAAAAGCGGACACTACACAATTTTCTAATAAATAAAGCAGACACTACACAATTTTGTAATCATCAAAGCAGACACTACAAAGTGTTGTAATGAAAAAAGCAGACACTACACAATTTTCTAATCAATAAAGCGGACACTACAAAGTGTTGTAATGAAAAAAGCGGACACTACACAATTTTCTAATCAATAAAGCGGACACTACAAAGTGTTGTAATGAAAAAAGCGGACACTACACAATTTTCTAATAAATAAAGCAGACACTACACAATTTTGTAATCATCAAAGCAGACACTACAAACCAAAGTGTGGGAAATAATTCCCCACCCAAATGCGCAGTGTGCCTGACATCAGTTGTGTCTGAAAAAAGTGTAACACTTTTCTTAATTAGGAAATGGCCCAATTTGGAAATAGTGCACACACCGTCATTAACAATGACCACACCATGCTAGCCATCAACTCTTCTGGCCCAAAAAGCATGGGAAATAATTCCCCACCCAAATGCGCAGTGTGCCTGACATCAGATGTGTCAGAAAAAAGTGTAAGGCTTTTCTTAATTAGGAAATGGCCCAATTAGGAAATAGTGCGCACATCGTAATTAACAATGACCATACCATGCTAGGCATTAACTCTTCTGGCCCAAGAAGTGTGGGAAACAGTTC